TGAGGGAATGGGTCTTTTTCATATTCCTTGCACAGGGTCTGACACATAGGATGGATTCAATAAGTATTTGCTGACTACCTGACAGACTGGGTGATTGACTAATGGAAACTTCAAAAGTTAGTTCCAAGAACTTTCTCTTTAGGCAATGATAAAATTGATGTTTTAGGAAAATTCAGCTATAATTGGAGTATAGGATGTCAGATATGATGGAGGAAAATAAAATACAATTAGGCAGCTCTTTTAGATGATAGGAGACTGAGAGGGAAATAGACAGGTGGTTTTGGCTGGGAATGGAAAGGAATAATGCTTTTACAAAAAAAAAAAAAAAAAGGTTACTGAGAAGAAGGGTAGCAAAGAGTTAAGTTGCTTTTCTTTGACTCTGTCTCAGATCAGATTCCCTAGAAGCAGAGCCTGAGATGGGGATTTTTACAAGGGACTTAGGGAGGGAAGCAACAGAATAGAGGAAGCCATGCCCTGTGTTCAGCTGAAGTCTAGCCTCAATTTGGAGTGGGAAGCACACCACAGAGTTGCCCCTCCTGAAGGCCAGGAGACTGGCCATTATGTCCCCCAGTCAGTCAGTCATTGGTAGGTAGGAAGTAAGAGACCATCACCTCATAGGTATTTCCTGACTAGGTGGCTGGTTCCTTTCAGCTGAGGGCAGTTCTCAGGAGAAGGATGCAGTTGTGAGGTGTTAAGAGACCATGACTCACGCAGCTGGAGTTTGGGTGCACTAGCCTGATAAAAGGAATTTGGTGGGGGATATTACCAGTGTCATCTACTCCCTATTATGGTCTGTTCTTCATACAGTGCCCTGCTGAGAACCTTCCAGTAGCTTCCCTTTACATCCAGAGTAAAATCCAAACCCTTTATCCTGGTCTATACAATCTGGTCTCTTTCTGCCTCTGTGGCTTATACATTCTCTCTCTATCCAAACTTTTTCTTTCTCAAACATGCCAAGCTGATTCTCATCTCAGAGACTTTGTGCTTGATTTTTATTCTGCCTAGAATGCTCTTTCCCCCCAGATTTTCATGACTGATCTCTCATTGTGCAAGCCTCTCTACTCAGATGTCATCTTTTCAGAGAGAACATCCACTGTCTTTCCCCAACAGGCTGTAGTCTGCACAAGTTACTCTGTCCTGTTAATAACTATCACCCTGGGTGCATTGATGAATGGACACCCAAAAAATGGATGGAGAGAAATGATTAGGAGGTAAGGGTTCAAGATCTTCCTGAGATAATGGACAACTGTGAAAGAAGTAGAAACACTGATAAGAAGAAGAAATGTGAAGAGTATGTCCAATGTGTGTGGAAAGATGTGAAATTTTGTTTGAGATAACAGCATAAAATATATGGAAGAGTCAAATAGTGTAGGGGTGCCTGGCTGGCTCAGTCAGTGGAACCTGCAACTCTTAATCTCCAGGTTGTGAGTTTGAGCCCCACATTGGGTATAGAGATTACTTGAGTAAATAAAATCTTTTTTTTTTTTTTAAAGGAGTACAGTTCTAGAACTAAATTCATATCCTGGTGCAACCACCTGCCAGCTGCAAGATCTTACTCAAGTTATTTAACTTCTCTGTGCCTCAGTTTCTTTACCTGTAAATGAAGATAATGGTATTTTCTACCTCATAAGCTTGTGGAGAGGACTTCATGAGTTATTATCTATAAATCATATAAAACAGTGTCCAGCTAATAGCATTATTTTAGTTGAATTTTAGGAGTCTACATAGAGAAGAGAGAAAGCAGGCTGAGACTCGTGTAAGATGAGTGATGAACCTACGGGACAAAATCTAAGGAGGCGCTTACTGAGGGTTACATACTGGTTACTGCATTTGCACAACTGAGTGTGCTTCTTTCAGTTTTGCATTGTTGACCTTTCACTTGTCTCACCCTAATCCTCACCCTGGTCTCAGTCAGCAAAGGGGAAAACCCTTTATTGGTAAGATTCTCTAAATCTGGGCACCTGTAACGTCTCCTCCCTGTGGCCTTGGTGGGAGCAGTTTCTTTTTTTCTTTAAGATTTTATTTTTAAGTAATCTCAACACCCAACATGGGGCTCAAACTCACAACCCTGAGTTCAAGAGTCTAATGCTCTACCGACTGAACCAGCCAGGCACCCCAATGTGGGAGTGGTTTCTTGCTGTTGCCAGTTTCTGGGTTGCCTCACTGTCCTTTGATTGCTTCTCTGTCTTTTCCATTACTTACATAACCAATTCCCTGTAGTCAGTCCCCTCTGCTCAAATACTCTGAGTAGTGGATTCTGTTTCTCTGGTTGGACCCTGACTGATATAACAATTAATATACTCTAACCCTTCATAATAAGCATAGAATTTCTGGGATGTGGGGGAAGAAGCTAATATTTATGGAGTACCTTCAATGCTTTAGGTACTTTGACATATAAAATATTTACTTTTCATCAGGTAGTGGAGTGGTGTCCACTGGATACTTTATAGGAAAGAAATCAGAGAATTATCACTCATCTAGGGTCATCTAGAGCTGTTATTCACACCTAGTTTGAAGGTTTATACTTTTTTCACTATGCAAAACGTGTGTATGTGTGTCCAGATTGTAGATAAACTATCAAATATGTAAATTTATTTTTTTCCCAGTGAGAGATGGTTTTTTTTATTTTCAGAGAGATACTATTAGTCTTTCCAACCACCTCCCCACTTTCACCTCCTCTTCCTTTATTTATTTATTATGGTAAATTCACATAACATAAATTAATCATTTCTAAGTGAACAATTCAGTGGCATTCAGTATATTCACAGTGTTGTGCAACTATTACTTATATCTAGTTTCAAAACATTTCCATGATTCCAAAATAAAACTTTTTTTTTTAAAGATTTTATTTATTTATTCATAAGAGACAGAGAGAGAGAGAGAGGCAGGTTCCCCGCTGAGCAGGGAGCCCGATGCGGGACTCAATCCCAGGACTCTGGGATCATGACCTGAGCCGAAGGCAGACGCTTAACCATCTGAGCCACCCAGGCACCCCCAAAATAAAACTTCTTATTAAATTTTTCCCCATTCCACCCTCTTCCCACCCCTGCAACCATTAGCCTGAATTTTGTTTCTATGGATTTACCTGTTCTGAATATTTCATATTAGTGGAATTACACAGTATTTTGCCTTTTATGTCTAGCTTCTTTCACTTAGCATAATGGTTTGAGGTTCATCCACAGTGTAGCATATATCAGTACTTCATTCTCTCCTTGCTGAATAATATTCCATTGTATGTATATACTATATTTTATTTATCCATTCATCCATTGGTGGATATTTGGCTTGCACCTCTTGGCTATTGTGAATAGTGCTGCTATGAACATGAATGTACGTGTATTTATTTGAGTGCCTGTTTTCTATTATTTTGGGCATGTATGAACTCATTAATGTCTAGCTTATTTTTCTAATTCTAATCCCTAGAATTTTAGATTACAAATGACAAGATACAGGAATTTCAGGGGCGCCTGGGTGGCTCAGTTGGTTAAGCGACTGCCTTCGGCTCAGGTCATGATCCTGGAGTCCCTGGATCGAGTCCCGCATCGGGCTCCCTGCTCGGCAGGGAGTCTGCTTCTCCCTCTGACCCTCCTCCCTCTCATGCTCTCTGTCTCTCACTCTCTCACTCTCAAATAAATAAATAAAATCTTAAAAAAAAAAAAAAAAAAAAAAAAGATACAGGAATTTCTGTAAAAATATTTTTTCTCTTCTTAAAGACTTACTCATATCTATGATCTAGTTTTAGTTTATTCTACAAGTTTTGCTCATATTGCTCCCTATTGTATATGTATGTGTGCATGTATATGTGTGTGAGTATGTACACAAGAGAGAAAGAGAGGGAAAGACAGTGTTTTTGTTTTTTTAACATTAATGTAACCATTCTGGGACTCGAAGTTCCCAGAACTATTTGCTTGTGTTTCATATGGATACTTGCAGATTTTATGTAAAGTACCACTTCTAGGTTAAAGAGGCCATGGATCTTTCAAAGTTAAGTGCTAATAGAGAAGGGTTATTTAGAAATTTGGGCATACAAATGCAGCTATTTTCAGTTGTATGCAAATAAAATTTTATTTCTCTCATTAGGACAAATATAGAGCAGATGAGGGAGGGATCATTGTAATTGTAAAATCACATTTTGTAATTTATGTGAAAAGAAAATATAATCTAAAATAGATTGAATGCACAAATAAAAAAAATAACCCAGGTGTAAATTATTTATTTATGAAATGAAACCTTTGAAAAGAGAGGAATGCTGATAGCAACCTTGCTATGCAATATATACTTCACTTCTGTTGTTACCCTTACATTTTCAAAGTGATACATAGTAATTTAGTTTCACTCCCATTAATATGAGTGGGAGTTTTGAAACTTAAATTCTGCACACATCTTTGAAAATGTATAGGTCAAAGTAAACTGTTAATGCAGAGCTGGTTTTCAGTTTTAGTGAAATATTACGAATCTCTCACCAAAGATGTCCTAGAAGGCTCTTTCATTCTAGTCGCAGGAGAAGAATTATGTATAAGGTTACTATTTGGAGGTCATCATCTTTAAAACAACATGGATAATAAATCATATTAAGGAGGAAAAAAAGCATTTTCCCAACCCTAAAGAACACAAAATTTCAGGACCCATATTGTTTTATAGTGAGCAAAGGACCTTGGACCCTTTCAATGGACCCTTTCAGCCCCGTGCATCTGATCAGCGATAGAGGCATGCTAAGGTGAATTTTAATTAGGACTAAATTGTGGTATTACTCTTTCATACCCTGAACATCTGTTCCCTTCAGAAATGATGATTTATGCAGGCTATCAGAGCAGACAGCTTGCTACAGCTTATGTCACAGTTAGTGGGAAACTGGTGGTAGCATTTCAGAAAACCAGCATCTAAATGGAGACTGGCCAGTGTATATAATATAGGTAAGAGGGGGAGGGGAAATATGATGTGTCCATTTCTAGTTTTGAAGCCAAATATTGACTTGACTTTAAAAAAAAATTCTCTTCTAGACCATCTGTTGTTAATGAAGAAAGTAACTTGGACAATGAATGGACTGATGCTTCCTACTGATGTTAAAAGACAGAAAACCAAGCCTGTTCTTTCTGATAGAATGAAGGAACTTACTGAGAAGACCTCAGTCCGAATTCTGTTCTTTAAGAATGGCACGGGGCAAGATGGGCATGAGATTACAGTGGGAAAGGAAACAATGGAAAAGGTAATGTTGTCTGAAATATTAAAGTATAAATTAAATTTCAAAGTTTTCATAGCTTTTGAAATGTGTTGGTTTTTTTCTTTTAAATATCAGTGTCAACTAATAAACTGAAATATTAAGAAGGTATTATAAAGAATGTAAAACTTCAGCTGTTTAGAAGCATGCTTACTATACTAACAACATAAATTACCTTAGTAAAGCAACAAGATTTCTTTAGCTAACATATAGTTGGCCATTTACCTAGTTAAAAGTTATGCTTACACTTAGAGACCATTCTAGTAGGTTATAATATTTTATAAAATATTTAGATTGAAACCAATCTAATCTAGCTTCAAATCTAAAATCTGATTCTTTTCATTTCATTTTATTTTTTTAAAGATTTTATTTATTTGGCAGAGAGAGACACAGTGAGAGAGGGAACACAGCAGGGGGAGTGAGAGAGGGAGAAGCAGGCTTCCCGCTGAGCAGGGAGCCCGATGCGGGGCTCAAACCCAGGACCCTGGGATCATGACCTGAGCCGAAGGCAGACGCTTAACGACTGAGCCACCCAGGTGCCCCTGATTCTTTTCATTTTAAAATAATAAGACCTAGGGGCACCTGGGTGGCTTAGTTAAGCATCTGCCTTGAGCTCAGGTCATGATCTCAGGGGATCCAGGGATGGAGCCCCTCATCAGGCTCCCTGCTCAGTGGGGAGCCTGCTTCTCCCTCTCTCTCTGGCCCTCCCTGCCACTTATATACTTTCTCTCTGTCTCTCAAATAAATAAAATCTTAAAACATAATAATAATAAAAATAGTAAGACCTGGAAGAACCCCTGCTTCTGGAATGAGTAAGTAAAGTCCAAAATAACTAAGATTCGTTTTAAAAGTATCCATATGCATTTTTAAAAGCAAATCTAGATGGGTCTAAGAAAAATCATGTAACAATCAAGCAAACTTTAAGAAACAAATTTTGTCATATAAATGCATGTTTTTTAGGAGGTGCATATATTTCCCAGATCATCTTTGGTCTGACAGAAATATGGAGGAACTAACGAGAGTTTGAAGGAAAAAAAATTTTTTTTATGGATAAGGGCTTCTCAACCAATATTAAAGCAGCCTAATAATAACACTAAAATTTATTAAATACGTATTAGAGAGACAGTGAAACATAACCAAACTGTCTAGGTTTTAACCCGGGCTTTGTCATTGAATCTATGAGACTTTGGACACTTTACCTTCTCCAAGCCTCCATTTTGTCATCTAAAGAATGGGAATAACAATAGTGCCTACCTAACAGAAATGATATGAAAATTCAATATGATATTATGCATGGAGTGCCAGCACCCAGAAAGTTCCCAATAAATATATGCTATTCTTATCTTTAGGACTTATAAATATACATCTAATAGTTAGAAATTATTTCTCTTACTAAAGGGAGAGATTTATTATGAAATCAAGACAGGTATAAATCATTTTTTTATGCCAGAGTATTTTCAAAATGACTGTTGCTTGAAACAGGTGAATAGTTGACTAGATACTGGAAATTGTTCTTATTGAAATATTTATTTCTTCATCTTCTTATTTTTGTGGTTATTTTATAACTGCAACTGGGTAAGTATTTACTGAGAATCTAGGAAAGCAGGTTTTATTTCCTTCTTATTTCAGATTTGGATTATGAGTAAAACAAGGGATATTATACACCAGAGTAAATTGCTAAGGCAAGTTGTAACATCTTTCCTGAAGATTTTGAAAACTAGAGAAGATGGACATACCTCTTGTATTGTTAAAATGCAGTCATTCTTGGAGGTAGAAGCTAGATTAGATAACCTCTTGAGTTCACTTCAGTTCAATCTTTGTAATTCTATGCCTTGGTGGTAAAATGGGGGTAATAGTCACAAAGATTACATGCTCTTAGATGAAAGGTTGAGTATAAGTAAAAATGTCACTGGTATTTTTCTTTTTGACTCTAGAGAGCAATTTATTTAAAACTGGATGATCAAGCAATTCTTTAGCTTATTTTTTTTCTCCTTACAATTTGTAAAATTTAAAGACTTTTCACAATTTATAAAATTCAGGATATGATTCAGTAATAAGCATATTTGTAAATATTTGATGAAATATCGCTTTTAACATAGAATAGGGAATATAGTCAATAATAATGTTATAACTTTGTGTGATGACAGATGGAAACTATACTTACCTTGGTGAGCACTGCATAATGTATAGAACCATCAAATCACCGTGTTGTACACCTGAAACTATATAACATTGTATGTCAACTATACTTCAAATAAAAAATACTTAATAAATAAATATCATTTATATGAACAAGGTAAAGGATAGGAAGCAACAGAATCCTGGCCCTGAGTATCCATAGAAGTTTTTGAAGGGAAAAAGTAAGGCTAGCTAATTATTTTGTAAATAAAATTTAAATTTTTGAAAGTTTTGTTGATAATCACAAGATAATGCATATTTATAGATTAACTACCAAGTCAGTAAAAGGAATAAAAAACTGGCGTGGTCATAGGAGAAATACAAATTATTTTCTCTTTTATGATAAAATATTAGGAAGGTCAGAGATTAGGAGCTATTTTTAGGTTATTATGAAGTAATAAAAAACTGGAATAGGATGTAAAAGACTCTAATATGGTGAAGGCTATTGCAGTGGGATAAAGAGAATGGAGCCATGGGAAAATGACTATATATATATTTTTTTTTTTTTTTTTTTTAAAGATTTTATTTATTT